GGGGACATATATGTATTCCTTGGAACATGTGTAATGTATTTTGAGACATGTATTTGATCCTTGGCATATGTATATGATTCTTAAGGAATTTTCTACGTGGTCCTTAGGGACATCTTATATAGCACTACGGTGCAATTCTACGCGGCACTTCGGTGCAATTCTACGTGGCACTTTGGTGCATTTATACGAGCTGTGGTGACACCATAGTGCACAACCTCACAGTACTCACATACCTTAGGTTCTCAGTATGGTATCATGGGCCAATAAACTTATTAATAAGAATTCATGAATGTTAAGGTAATATGCTTATAGGTAAGGAACATGGTGATATAACTGCATTGATTAAGTATATGACTTCATTTCATTTCATCTCATTATGGGCATTTTCATTACAATTCCTTGTTATTATTATTATTATTATTTTGCCTCACTAAGTCGATGACTTAGCGTGTGAGTATTTCACACGTAGGATCCGAGAAAGTAGACGAGACAGGTTAAGCAGCTGGACAACATTACTCCTGCAACTATTAGATCGGAGGCAACTTAATCAGTATGTCATTTTGTTATGTAAATGAATGTTGGCATGTAATCAAAGGGTCAAGTTGTGTATGCTCTGAGTATTTTGATAAACTTGTATTAACATATGTATATTATTGTATTTTAATAATATAAGTTCAAATGTTTTATCGTTTTTTTAGAATATTGTTTTTTATAGTCAATGTGACATCCTGGACTCGTATCCGGGTCAGGTATGGGTTGAGGGTGTTACAACCCGTACTTGGCACTTGGAGGATAGACATATCCGTACAATGACTTTTTGTTGTAATGTTTTTATCTTCCAAGTTGTATTTAATTTGGTTGACATGTGCCTATATTTTTAAAATATTGTTTTTGTTACTGATGTTAGATTTGCTTCGATACTGATTTTGAAATATTTTATTTTTATTTTTTACGACTTTAATTTACTGAATTTAAACTTTGATTGCTATTAATTATATTTTTAAAGATGTTTAATTATAATTCAGATTTTAAATTATCGAATAATGTCTTTGGAAAATTTTACCGTAATCCGCTAGATCTGGTCGTAACGCATTGGTCGGTTCTAGGGGTTACATAGATAATGAAACTTCTTTATGTTCTTTCATCAAGATGGTACCCTCTAACTCTTCTATGCTTCTTGAAAATTCATAAGTGATGTTTGTGATGATAATGCATGCATGTTGTATGTCTTGGGGTGAAAAACATGTTAAAATGATTAAAATGAAGCTAAAAATGAATTTGTGAAGTTTGTCCAGAAGAAATATTTGCACAAGCGGTAACTTTAAAAATTCATATTAAATTTTATAAAAATAATTAAAAAGTGATCTATATATGGTTGTAATCCGGAGGCATTCTAGTTTTGTTTAAAACAAACATATATTGATTTCACATGTATATAAAAAGACATGAATTTTATGATGATAAAAGGTCAAAAATCTGAGCAACAAAATCCTTATAAAACAATTTTAGTAGTGATTTTGAAAAATCACAAAAAAAATCCATAGTTAATAGTAGGAAGTGAACCTCATATACATATAACTGTACGTAAATGTAATTTATTTAAAAACAAACGGTTCTTGATTTGAAGCTATATATTTAGAGTTATAAATTTTTAAGTAAGTAAAGGTCAGAAAAGAATGTAGCATACTGTTTTAAAAAACAGTAAGGATAGTAACTTCAAAAATTCACCATAAATTGTACGAGATAGATTATAAACTTTAATTTATATGATTGGAAATAGTAGTGAATCTAGTTTCTTATAAAAACAAACGAAATATTATAGAATTGTAGATTATTAATTACACATTTTTCTTTAAAGGTAGTACGAACTGGCATATTAAATGATCAATATTTTAATCATGATTTAAGATTTTGTAAAGCTTAAATGATTAAACTATATTCAAGCATAATATACCTTGCAAGTTTGAAATAAGCATAACACTTTGAATGCTATTGGGTTACACTTGTGATTAGTTGTTTGATGCTTTGATTGTACTCAACCTTCAAGCTCTAACTTGATAAATGGCCATGAGTGGAACGCGGGAAAACAATTCGGACACTCGAGATTTGTTTGATTAGCGATCATGAGTGGCGCAGGACTATCCAGATATTCAATTATTTGAGTACATGTGCATCTTAATAAATTTGACAAGTTTGATATGCAAATGATTTGTTTATGAAATTTTCATGACATGTGATTTATTTGTTCGTTACCCATGCCATGTTTCTATGTATACATTTGATTTGCATGATCGTATTTGAGAATTTCTTGAAGTATGGTAGATTAATTGTGTACCACTGAACTTGCAACGCTCAACGGTCAAATTATTTCTATTTTCATATTAGTAGACTTCGTTCGTATTTGAGGAGCATCATTAACAAGGGACTTCCAACACCCCGTATTCAGAGTACAACACCTTATTTGTATGTGGATACTGTATTCATAGGGTCTCGCTTATATTTTGATGTCTGTAACCCGTTTATTATTTTGGGTTATTTGACTATTTTGATATATACATATACTTATGATGGAGCTTCATATGTTTTTGTATAACTACTTTTAATACTATTTTATTATAACTATTTGATGATATTTCTCTTATATAAAATACTTTTAATGTTTTAAAAATATTAAAAAATTATTGGATTGCTCCGGTAACTCGAATGTAACATCATTGACCTTCGAGTATTATGTATTCTAGATTAGGGTGTCACATTATTATTTTAAAAACTACTGATTATAACATTTTATTTTTTTAAAAATGGCTAATAGCATTAATGCCCGTGTATTTTACAAATCTTCTAATGTGATGCCTATGTTTTTCAATTATTCAATGTTTCCAATTATTTAGTGTGTCCATATACTTTGCTTATGTGCTATATTGTATCCCTAAAACTAGTATTGTTGAATGATAACATGATATAAATGCGTAATATTCTTTTTATATTCTCTTGTGATAATTGGATAGTTAAATAAATAATTTATTTATTCACTTTGTATGACCATAGATTAAGAATCAATGTAGAATTTATGATCTAATTTAGAGAGGTAATGCAATTAACTCTATATATATGTAAAACCCTGGTTGCTCTCTTTTTCATTCTTCTTTTTTTTTTAGAATATATATTGGTTTTTACAGATTGGATTAACTTTTTTTTATTTGGTTTGACTGGCGGCGACATCGATTTTGATGCTGGTTGTCGACCGTTGAATTCTCTTATCTCTTTGTTTCTTTTTTAGTTTTTTAATAAGAATAATTCTTATTGTTTGACACATTTTTCTCCGTCTTTATGACACGTTTTTCTCTACCTTTGTGACACATTTTTCGTTTTTTTTCTCGGTCGTTTGGTCGTTTTTTTTATTTTATGTTTTCTCGTGGTTGTATTTGACGACACCACAACTGATCTAGATGACGTTTATTTGTAATCATGTTGATTTTCTCTACTATGGACCCTCAAATTGAATTTAGATACGCGGTTTTACATTCATGGATAGCTTCTCACGATGTTCAGCTTTGATTTGTAGTTCTCGGTGATCTTTTAATAGTTTAATCTCCTTTTTTGGTTCATTTACCGATGTAATCAGATTTATTTGTATCTATATTTTGTTCGAATCTTTTGGTTGAGTTTTTAACATTTTCCATGTATAATCTTTATATGATCTAAAGTGATTAGTTTTAATGTTATAAGAAAATGTCCAAATTATATATTTAGTTTACGATGATAGCTTTAAAATTTTTATTGTAATTTTGAATATTTTTATTTTTTTAGTAAGACTAACCACTTCCATTTTTTAAAAAAAATACATAATTTATTCAAAATTTTATTGGACCGACCGATGTTGACTTCAACAAGCATTTTATAAGAGATTCAGACCATGAACCGGCTCTACCAGGCCGGTCCATAACTCGACGTTTTTTCGGATTTCGGTAAGACGAAAAGACTCGATAGACGCCACATCAGTAAAATAAATAATAATATAATAATAGTATTTTCGTTGCATATAAGGAAAGAAACGTTTTCAGTGCTTTACCAGGATTCTAACACAAGGGTGGTAACAATTAAACAAAGCTGGCCACACTCTACTTGAAACCTCTTTGATTCTCTATACAAAACAATCAAACAAAAACCCTAAATTCCGTTTGCATTTTCGTTTTAGATTTCGGTAAAGTCTCTGTTCCCCCCCTTTTTTTAAGCACCATATTTGTTGGGGGTTCAACTTTCTTGTTTAGTGGAGTGTTTTCCCCCCTTGTTTCTGTAAAGTTTGATCTGATGCATTGGTTATTTGAAAACTAAACAAAAAAGCATCTACCTTGTTATAAATTTCGTGTTTTGTTAAAAAAGTTCACTTTTTTTTTTGGATTGCTTTACTGGTTTTTTATTATTATTATGAATCTTTGTTCTTTTTTTTTTGTGTGTGTGTGTGTGTGTGTTGGGGATGTTTAGATTGTTTGAACGTGTTAATATAAAATAAGGGTTTTTATTTTCTCTTTGTTTTCTTCCCTTTTGAATTTGCTTTATTGATGAATGCAATTATAGTATTACAGTTTGTATTTTGTTTGATGTTTGAGCTTGTTTGGTAAACTTGGAAATTTGTGTATCCTTGCTTTGCTCTTATATATTGTTGCAATGTTATTGCTTTTTTGTCGATTTATATAATTTTTTATGTGCTAATAACTTGTTTTTTTAATAAACTTGTGTACATGTGTTGCCATTTTTCTTTTTCTTGTAGTGTTTCAGTATTTTCTTTATGTAATATCTGTATCTATATTACAATCATGTTGTGTCCAATATTGTCAGATTTATTGTTTGACGTAGAATCCATAAGAATTGACATCATGTGTATGAAGTACATGTATTTTGGCATAAGATGTGTTGCTTTGTGTTTGCTTTAATGGTCATCGAATGTGTTATTTAATACGTTTCTTTCGATTAATAACATGTTGGTTTCTGCCATTTCTGTTTGCTGTTGTGTACATATAAGGCAATCATGAGCATCTCAAATGTGTGTCCAACTGAAGATGCTGTTCAAGCGTTTTTGGAGTTCTTGGTTGACCCTATGCTACCCAAAAAATTAATTTCGGATACTCCGGATAAGCCGGAAGCAGTTGCCAAACAGGTCCATTTCTTTACTTCATTTGAATTTACATACCGACTTTGGTTTTTCACGCTCACCTGTTATCGATCACATGCTCTTCGTGTCAGACACGTGTTCTTTTAGTAAGTCAAATTGCTTTATCTAACAGTGAAGGAGGATTACATGTTCTTTTAGTAAGTCTAATGTTGGAGTTTTAATCGTATTTATAGTGAAATGGGAGTATTTCTTTTGGACTATACACTTGTAGTGCTTTGTTTACATATAAGAATTTGCTAGTGGTGATTTGTTCAGAATGAGATAGGACCATGTAGGAATGACTAGAAGACAATATAAAAAGTTTGGTCAAGAGTTGATTGCCGTGCTAGAGGACGGTGGAAACGATTTTATGTACTCTCTTTCTCAAATAGATGCATAAATGTGTGGTCATACAATCTGCTCTTATATTTCTTCTTTTCCTTCTGCAATTATCCTTTAGGTACATGCCGTTGTGTTACTATACAACTATTACCACAGGAAAAGACATGCCGACTTAGAGTTTCTAGATTTTGAGCCGTTTTGCAAGTTGGCTTTACTTTTGAAGCCAACTTTGATGCCACATATGAAGCTCATGCTAAGGACTGATGATACTGAAGTGATCAACCTCGAGAAGCAGCTTTCATTGACAGAGAAAGCCGTCATGGATGCATGTGATATATCTAGAAGTTTATATGCATCAATCAGTGTTCCAAGTGAAAAGAGGTTGCCAGTTTCGAAAATTTCAGTTCTTTTAATTGACAAAACAAAAAAGAATTGCATCTTGCTGAGTGGTAGCATCACTCAGGGTGTAAAATCGTTGATTGAAAAGGATGTGAATGAGTCCTGTTGCGGTCCAGATGGTTCTGTTAAGGCCAAACAAATGAGCAAAAGAAAAAGAACCCCGAATAAACGTTTGCGGGATGAATCGGATGCTGATGAATGTCACTTCCAACAATTGGCTTTCTCAGCTATTAAAGAAGCAACAAAGGATGGTAAACCTCTGCCACTTTATGTTAATTGTAGAATAAATAGATAAATATTGATTTGTAGGTAGTTCAATATTATTAGTTTTTATTTCGAGTATTATTAAAAGCTTGAGTTTTAAATGCTTGCATTTATTAAAGCCTTGAATAACTAGAACTGTCGTGTGTGTCGCTTGTTAAACTGAGCAGTCAAGTTCCTTGTTGGGAATAATTTATACACCCATGTGGGACATGCTTGTATCCAACACTTACACTCGAGTCCAACTGCCATTGAGAAAATGTTTTAAGAGAAAGAATATTTGGACTTCGAATATTTTTCCAGTGTGTGTGGTACATATTAATGCTAATGTTAATGCTAAATTGGCCAGGCATCAGTCAAAGCGATCTTACCATTATTGAGAGCCATGTTGTATGTTCTTTGAGCAAAGTAAAGACAGCCGCTCGCTTTTATATTGTGCAATGTGCTCGAGAAGCAAAAGCTCGTTGGATTCCTATTAAGGATGTAATTCAAAGGTTTGGTTCTAGTCAATGACTTTCATTATTATCATTACTTGCTAAAAGATATCTGTTTTCTGGTATTCCGGTTTTTCCTCTCTGGTGGATGACGAAGAACGTTTTCTGGATATGCAAACATGCATTGATTTAGAGGTCAAGCTACCCTTTTTATTACTAGTATAAATAATGTCCAATAGAGCTGAAAGGATATGATAAATTGGTTAAAAAAATATTTTCCCCCCTTTTTGTTGTGTACTTCAACTTTTTCGTTAAAAAATTATGTTCTAAATTGCTGATGAAGATTCTTGTATTATTAGCTTGCAGGGTCCATTAGTGAAAAAGGATTCCTCCGGATGGGTGTACTCTCCTGTTGTCGAGTACTTCCACCTGCTCCCTTATGCACGGATCATTTCTCAATGGTACTCGAGGTTTGTGATACTTATTTTATGTAGGCTAAATTACATTCACCTGCATATGGGAAAAAGGTTTATTTTGTTGCTTTTGTTGGTTAACTTTTTTTTACTTGTCTCTGTACAAATTGTGTTGCAGGGATGTCTCTCTTATCAGTTTCGAGGAACCGGAGTATGTACAGGAAGTTATTAATGTACATGGATTTGAAATGATCAAAGATCTTTGTGAACCCGAAGTTCAAAATAACGGGAATGGGATTCCATTTGATGGTGGCATTGTAGAGGCTTCTAAGAACATCAGCTGTGCTGAATCAGAGAAGCAGAATGAGAAGAATGTGCATTGCATGAATGACTTCTTTGATGATAACGATGGGCCTTCTTGGACTATGGATGTGGACAATCATTCAACGGTTCACTTTGAAAAGAAGTTGACATCCGAAAATGTTGCTGAGAGAGTCCAACATGATTCTCAGCTAAAGAAGATTAATTCTCATGCAGAGTGCGAATTAAATGGAAGGACTGATATTGCTAAGGTGTGTCCTGATGATTAACTGCTTTCGATTTCTTAGTTAGTCGAAAAATGCTAATTAGATTCAGAATTGTATTCTTTAAGAAAGGAACTAGTAGATATCATAGTCCTGTAGCATTCTACTAGTTTCACTAGAAATATGTCGTTAATATTGCCAAATTCTGGGATTTTTCTGCTCCTTACTTAGTACTGATCCTAAGCTTTATGTTCTTGTGTACTCATCCTAAGTTTTTCGATGCAGTTTGATGTGGCAAACTCGGCAGTTCGCAACAACCTTAATCAGCTGAAGGATCAAATTGATACCAATGGAAAAGCCGCATCAAATGATAGGCCTGCTCAAGATGGGATATCTTTGGGAAATCATACTCCGGTTATTTGCGAGTCCAGATCCAAATTTTCAGCTAAACTACAAAAAGCCATTGCCTCAAAGGAAAACATCTTGTCGGAAACTGCTTTGAGAGTTCTACTTAGAAAGAGGGATAAAATGGTATGGTTTTTATTTTTTCTTTTAATTCAAATGATGCATGCCTCCTTCAAATATTTGACGCACAAATACGGTTGGACTATTATTAGTATGCCGCTGCCCACTTTTATTCGTCTAATATTGGTAACATCAAGTAAGATAAGCTCGTGTAAAGGCGGCCGCCTCAAAACATATACATTACCTATGATCCACCCTTTGAAGTCCCATTTTGAAGTGATCCATACTCCTTTCTGTCATATTTTTTGTTGATGAATTCCTTGATTATACATTTTCCCTTTCACATTTCCTTTTCAATCCACAGGTTCTTCAGCTTCGCAATATCGGAGATGAGATTGCTCAATGTGATCAAAAGATGCAAACAATTCTGAACGGTACTTTTAAAAACTTTAAAAGTCTTACAGCGGTGTGTGAGTTAATGTTATATTTATTATCACACGATCTAAATGATATAAATGAGAAGAGAAATGAGACTGCAATATGAAAGATCTCGGTCGAGATATTATTAGACGAGTTTATGTTAAAGCCGTTGCATTAATGCTTTTAGAGTAATTTGTGGTGTCAGAAATTGTATCAACAGAGCTGATTTGGTAACTTGTTTTCTTTCTTTAGGTGGTGAAGATGATTTGGAATTAAAGATAGAATTGATCATAGAAGGTTGTAACGATGCGTCTCGAGAAAACCAAGGGTTGGCTTCCCAAGGCCATGAAGGCCTGGGTTCGTCTCAATGCAAAAAACGAAACAGGTCCTCAGAGGAAGCTTGCAGCAAGGCAAATCCGTGTCAGGCAAGTTTAGTCAAATGTTCCCTGCTTTTAGCTCCATCTATATACTTATTTCAAACTTTCCCACTGAGTTCTCATGTTTCCAAAATACCACTTGGAAAGAATCCGATGTTGCTTAAAGAGGCGACGAGCTAGATTACGATGTTAATCAGTCTCAGAAAAAAACACGTAATGATTAATATTTTTCTCATCTAGCAGTTGTTGGATGGTATATGCAAAGACAGGAACTGGACATTGCCAACATACCAAGTATTCCCATCAGATGGTATGTTCTTTTAACTTAAACATGCAGTTTGGATTGTTATACAATTTAAATGATTTACTCGTCCTTCGTCATTTCACGACGAGATCTTGGATATGAATGATTTTTCTTGTTTCAAGTTTGAATCTTGTATCACTAACCCTAACATGTTGTTTAGACCTATTTTACTTGGACTTGGGTATTGAGAAAACAACAAAAGCATGTAAAAACTAACCTATTCTTTTGAGTCATCTTGAAGGTGGATATCAAGCTAAAGTAACCGTAAAAGGGACTGACTTTGAGTCGTCGAGCGAGGGGAACGCATGTCAGAAGCCCCATGAAGCGAGAAGCTCAGCTGCATCGAGGTTGTTGGTCAAGTTGGTTGACCATGTCTAGTGGCTGAAACAACTGTATCTTTTGTTTTCGGTTCCTCACCATGTCATCGTCGTTTTAAACGGCATAGTTTGTTAGCAACTTTTGCTAGTCTGATATAGTATACAGCTTATGCTTATTGGTTTGAATATGATATAGAAAAACTGTAACACCCCAACCCGTATCCGACCTGGATTCGAGTCCGAGGTGTCACATCAATTTTTAAAACCTTTACTTGTTCAAAATAATGAAAATTTCCCGTTAAAGAAAACTTCATATTATTTCATCATAAAAGTTTACAAACTTATCAGAGCATGTACTATTCAAATCGTTTCTATTACATGCCAACTATATCTAAAAGAATCAAATACATATCAAACATTTCCTTTTTGATCTGAAACGTTGTAAGGAAGATGCTGACATGTCTTGCTCCTCTTAGGTTCTCTTTTCGCTTCTGTAACTTACGTGTGAAACAATCACACGCTAAGTCTATGACTTAGTTAGGCATAATTAAATTTACTATAACATATCATTTCTAATTGCTATTATGCCTACTTCATGTAAACTTCATAAACTATGGAATGCATTATGTATCAAACATAACTACAGACATATGCATATCAACTCTTTATCTTTATTATAAATCTTATCATTATCATTAATTTCTTTGATCATATGACCCTTTACCCACCATGCATACACATCATATAGCACATCTATAACTATACCAATTAACAAACATATCATCATGAGATTTCTGTAAAGCACTTAACATTACCAAACATACATATCACATATAGTGTATTTGTTATTATCTCTTGATTAGCCCATGTACACTGTGAGAACTATAGATATGTGAGTCTATTGATGTTGTGCACTAATGCTGTCACCACAACTCGTATAAATGCACCGAAGTGCTATATAAAATTGTCCCTAAGAACCACGTAGAAAATTCCTTAAGAATCATATACATATGCCAAGGATCAAGTATGTGTCTCAAAAGACCTCACACATGTTCCAAAGAATACATATATGTCCCGAAGGACCGCGTAGACCCTCGACTCTTGGCATGTCAACTATACCTCTAGCTCTCATGTCACATAACATGGACATTAATATTTATGTTATCACACATTCATATATACACGTAGTCTCATAGTTCTTTCACATAGCTCATTGTCATATAAATCACATATCACAAATACGTATAGACACATGGTTCACTTACACGTAGAACATTTTCATATGATTCACATATCACAGAGCTTATCACATATAATTGTATTCTTTTTCATATAATCACATGGTCATATAATATTTCATATGATCTCATAGGTCATATCACATAGATTCTTATTGCATATTTTATATTATATTCTTATACCACTAATTCATAATATAATTTAGGTCAATGTTGATTAACTTGTTTTACTCTTTCACTTATTCATATAATTTCATTACACCACTTTCTATAATTTATTACAACATCATGTACTCCTTTTACTATAATCGATACATTAATGCCATATAATTTATATTTCTAATTCCTATGACATCCTCATATGATTTCAAGTACTTTGGTACTATACTAAATATCATATAAAAATCTAACAGTTTTAGATCATAGTTTCATTTAACATATCGACCTTCCCATATTACTTATCTAACATATTCATATACTCATATCACATAATAATTTCACCTGACTATATCTTATGTTTATTTCATTCTTACATCGCATAATATCTAAGTCTCCTTTATATAGTTTACACTACATATTCATAGAATCTTATTCGAATCTTATAGGTAATTACTACTTATCTTATCTCATTTCCCTTTTATCAGTTTACATGATTTATTACACTAACCTTTCAATAACATATGACTTATATCACTTATCTCATAATATTTAAATACTAGTTTACTCTATTTATTTAATTAAGTTTCATATAACACCTATAATCTTTCTCATAGGGATTTTATAGTTCTTCATTCGATAATTCCTATATCATAATTTCCTTTAAGTATATCACACTTCAGGTTCGTATTATGTTCATGTCCCCTGATTATATATTATTATTATTATTATTATTATTATTATTATTATTATTATTATTATTATTTCGTAGAGTCATCTAATTTATCATCTCTCGATTTATATTTGGTTCTCTTAAATCTTCTCATAATCACATATATTCATGACTTATCACTTATGTGTAGCTTACATTTCATTCTTATATATATCACAATAACCTTGGCTTAATTATTCTGTAAATAGCATATACTTACATGGCTTTTCTTTTATAAGCATATCATTACATAATTTATTTTATGCTTTCCCATTACTATATAATAATATTTTCATAAATCATGCATCACACACAAAGCATATCAACATATAGCAAATATAATCATATCAAATCATGCTCATGTTCATGACTTCATGCATTCTACTATAGGAAATGGACTCATCGCGAGTCATATTTCCATTAACACAAGATACCAAAAGTATGCACTCACATGGCCTCACTACTCAATACCGATCTCTTATCTATTCCCCCTGATCGATCTTACTTGTCAACGGTTCCAGAACTTGTTTAGGCCCTGTATCTACACAATTATACATTTTAAGGCAATTATTAGATACCTACACCTTGTAATTTGATACTAACAGCTTAAACGAACTTAATAAACCAATATTCACATTTTTCCTTTAGGGGGTATCGATACCCTACTGGGGGAATCGATACCCCTATGACATTATGAAGTTTTACGTTCAAGGTGACATTCTGGAATTTCTCGTTTGAGAGGGTATCAATACCTATTGAATGGGTATCGATACCCCTAGCCCAAAAATCATGTTTTGAGCTCGAAAATCACTTCATTTTCAGCTATATACTTCATACTTTACTTTCTTTAACATGCCTAACTTTCATATACATACTTAAACTCATTTTTACTCCATAATCACTTCTTTAAACTCAAAATTCTATCATTTACATGGCATTCAAGAATCACACTAAATTTTCAACATGTTCTAAATTTAATTCTAACACCTCATACTTCCTAATTAGCTTGATGACAAGTCAAATTTAACTTACAATTTAACTTATCAACTCTCATTCAAGATTTCCTTTAAAAACTTCTAATCTTTAATCTTTCTTGACTCCTTTATCTTATGGTTTTAAGACAAATTAAGCTTTCCTTAAGCTTAGTTATCATTTAATGATCAAAACCCAATCTTAAATTCAGCTAAATATCAACCAACAAGAGATTTTACCTTTGCTTATGGCTTCACGTGAAGAAGAAGAAGAAAGGAGAAGAAGAGAACTCTGGAGAAATCTCTCCTCTTCCACATGGTTATCTTATCTTATAATGAAAAATAAAAATCTTACTTATCAAATGATCATTTTACCCTTTAATTCATTCAATAATTACTAAACAACCTTCATTAAATATTTCCAATAAGTCATTGAACTATTCAATTATCCTACTTTAATCACCAATTTCTGAAATTTTTTTAATCTAGTCTCTAACCCGGTGTTGAAGATGTTACAAAAACTAATTAAACTATGATGCAAAACATAGGTTTTGTTAAATTATAGATGATTTTTTTAAACTATGATGCAAAACATAGTTTGTTGGCAACTTTTGCTATTCTTATATAATATAAATAGTTGTTTTTAATTGTTAGCAATTGTGATATAAAACATGAATCAAACGATCTTAGTGGTTAAAGAAATGGTTGTTATTTCTAGAGGTCTCAAGTTTGAATGTCATCTGTAGGGGTGTTTTAGCGTTTATTGTCAAATGGTTGAGTCTTTCAAGTAGGTAATACCTTGTGATCACCTAGACTAACATAAAGGTCAAATGATCACGAATAGATATGGATTAGTAGAAATTAAATTAGTACAATATTAAAATATTGAAATTACTTTTTGGAATTAGAGTTAAATTATAATAATATATAAAAGTTGAATTTTAAATTTGTTATTATGATAATTTTATCAATAAGATTCTTCTCTAAAAAATTAAATGGTGATAATTATTTATAATTTTCAATAGTTTAAGTGATCAATTTATAACCTTTTTATAATCGGAAGATTCAACTAAAAAGTATCATATAGTCGAAGAGCTATCTACAATGTTCACTCTAAATATTATATAAAGGGTAAACTACTTGAAATGTCACTAAAATATTATGTTTGTGTCGGTTTTACTATTGAAATTTAAAATGTTTTACCTTTTAACATTGAATTTTACCTTTGACTTCAATTAAATCACCATGCCATTAAATTGTTAATGATGCGATGACGTAATTGTTTTTTTAGTGGACTTTAATTTGTGTATCGATGTTGTCACTAAACTTTAAAACGTTCCACTTTTAGACATCGAACTTTAGTTTACATCTCATTAGTCCTTATAAAACAATCATCAACTCCTTCGGTCATTGTTGTAACTCAAACATCGTTCATCATCAAACATTATTTGCAACAAAATCAATGCTAGTATGTTCATATTTCACTCATCATTCTTCTCCTCAAATTGGTTTTTCATAATATCAACTAAAAAAACGAAAATTCAGCTAATGGTTCAACGTTCTAATACTCTTATCTTCTATGACAATTGTTCGATAAGACTAATTTTATGTATGTTGTTTATCTTAGTAAAATAATGCTTCAAACCATTCAAATTTTCAAACAAACACCCCAAATTCCTCAAATCTGAAAAAGCCTCAACCCCTCCTCGAAATAATATATTTTTTACATTTAAAATTTCATGAGTTTTAAATAAATTTTGAGAAAATCTAAGCAAACAAAGTAATAGAGGATAATAAGACAAGTTCATCGGTGTCTAGAGTGACTATAAAAAATATAAATTAAATTAAAAGATGAATGTTAGAATTAAAACATTTCATAATTCAGTAATAAAATTGATAATAACAATAAACAAATTAAAATATTGAAAAAAACTAAAACTCAATTAAATAATCCAATTCAATAATAAGTTCATAATTCAACCCAAACTCCAATAGCCCAATACCACTTATAAGTCCAATATTTCAAATCAAATAAAAAACAAA